TCTGGGCATAGATGCTAATTGTTTTTTTATTGAGTGCGTATCTGGTGCCAAGCTACGTAGGCTGCATGGGGAACTGGACTAAGATTTACTGCAGAGACTGGTTAGTGTCTGAGGCTTGGGGCATTGGGCAGGAACATTCCCGATCCCTTTAAGCCTGGGGTTTTAGGGTTTTATGTGTACCACACGTGGCACTCAGAGCCAGCCTTCCCTTTACTGCCTCTTGGCCAAGTGTCAGAGGGCTGTTTGACACATAGCCCAGAATTCAGTGCATTTCTCCTCACTACCCTTAACTCAAAGGAAAGATTGATTTCACAAAAAGGAAACACAGATTTATTATTGGTTAAAAGAAGGTGTAATCTTGTGAGTGGCACCCACAGTGGTTAATGGATTCCAGTCCCCACCCTACATGGAGTGGCCACCTGGCCTGGGTTAGGTGACCTGGCCTCCTGGTACTTCTGCTCCTACCCCTGTGAGACAGGCCGATAGCACCCCTCCTGAGGATGATCTGATCTCCAGCATTCACGGGGCTGGGACCAGAGTGGGGAATATAGCAAACAGTTACTGATGTGGTTTTCAATGATAGACTTAAGTGTAGTAGCTTCATCTGTTTTTAGGAGTTGGCAGTTGAGATGATGTACTTTGACATTTATCCCAAGAAAGGAAGAGGAAAATTCCTGCTGTTAACAGACTTTTTTTTCCTTTTTAAGAATGTGAAATTTGCAGTGATCTGTAGGCCCAGCCTTAAAGTATTTGGCTTCTCATTCTTCCAGCAGCAAATGGGAGCTCTTCTGGAAAAGTCGGGAAGCCTCCGTGTGGAACCACAAAGAGGTCCATTGCCGACAGCGAAGAATCGGAGGCTTACAAGTCCCTTTTCACGACTCACAGCTCCGCCAAGCGCTCCAAGGAGGAGTCCGCCCACTGGGTCACCCACACGTCCTACTGTTTCTGAAGCCGCGCAGGCGCCGTCTGGTTGCCACGGGGCAGGTGGCGTGGGCGTTACTGTGCCCTGTTCTCTGCTAGCTCCCCCTTTGTGCCGAGCTATAAAGTCGTCCTCCCAAACCTCGGAGCTGGTGTGGTCGCTCGTGCTTGTGAGGCGCGTGGGTTCCCGCGGTGACGTGCTGGCCCTGCCCGCCCCCTCCCACAGGCTCGTGCCCTCCCCACGGCCCCGGAAGATGCGTTGGCCTGCACTTTTTATGCTTGAGATAAAGACTCCAGATTTCTTGGGGTGTGTGGTTGGCCCATTTTGCCTAAAATTCTAATGATTTTGCTGCCAACAGTGGAACAGGCCAAGCAAAATTGTACTTTAGAAAGTGAGCTTTACATGCACTCTGCCTGCATGTATGTCTGCTGGCAGCCTCTGTGTCCCCTGAGCAGAGCTTGCCGGTCGAGTATTGAGGGAGGTTCCTTTCTTTTATCACTTTTTAGTTGGGCACCTGAGGGTTTGGTATAAAAATAAAGCAAATCCGCCTTTTCTCTCATCTGTCTGTATTTTTCTCTCTTCCATAATGTTTTAGTAAGAAAACTACGGCCTCCATGGATGGCGATCAGAGCGTTTCCACGACATGAGTTCCCTTGTCTCTCAGATGATGACACAATCGGTGTCTCTTAACCTGTGCGGACGTCAGGCATTGAAACGTCCCGTGGGACGTGGCCTGGCAGGGCTGATTCAGAGCCGGGAATACCCCGTGTCAGCATGGCTTTCTGGAGACAGTTGTACTCTGGACGGGACGGGCTGGTTTCCATCAGCGCGAGGGAAACGGAGCCGGGGAGGGAGGCCGGAGGCCTGGGCGGGGGCACCGGGTCCCCACGTCCTCTGTCTCCGAGGGGTGGGAAGCTCGGCGCCTAGGCGTGTCTGTTTTGAACAGAGAAGCATTTTAATCAGAATTCTAGTCACGTCAGTGAATTTTTGTTGTGGACTTTTCCAGAACAAAACTGAATTGCCCATTTTCCCTTTTTTTTTTTTAATTTTAATTTTATTTTTTTAAGATTTTATTTTTTTGAGAGAGTGAGAGCATGAGCAGGTGGAGAGGCAGATGGAGAGGGAGAAGCAGACTCCCCTCTGAGCAGGGAGCCCGATGCGGGGCTTGATCTCAGGACCCTGGGATCATGACCTGAGCTGAAGGCAGACACTTAACTGACGGAGCCACCCAGGTGTCCCTCCTTACCCATTTCCTATACAGCCCAGTTAAACCATTTCCTAGTTGTTGCATCTTTTTATATCAACTGCCATTATTTCTGCCAACTTCAATTTCCCTAATTTTAGCCTTAATTTTATTCTGCAGTCATTATTTTGACTATCTCCAGTTTTTCCCCGTGACCCAGTCACAGGGTCCCCAGCATCAAAACTTGAGCAGCTCAGCCCGCCCGCCTCCCCTCAAGGTCACCCCCAACTCTGCCTGTCACCCCCCCACACACACCCTCCCCCTTCCAGCAGCCAGGCCAGAGCCTCAGCCCCTCGGCCCCGGCCTCTGGCCTCTGCCTGCGCCTTCCCCGCCCAAGAGCCCTGCCGCCCCCGGAAGAGAGCTTGCTGGGGAGACTCCTTCCAGCCTTTCGTGTCCAGCAAGGCATCAAGTCCTCAGAGGCCCGAGGAGCGGCACTTGTCCTTGAGGTGGGGAGCAGTCTGCCTGTGTCGCCCCGGGCCTGGCAGGGTGCCTGGGACACAGGAGGAGGAGAGCGAGCAGTGACGGCTCGGAGCTGCTGCCGTGTTGAGGGTTCCCCCGAAGAGCAGAGCCCTTGGTGGGCTTCGTCTCCTGGGGCTCACCGACCCACAGAGAGGGGCCGTGACCACCTCCCTTCCTGCAGCACTGCCCATGCGCTCACAGCTCGGGTCAGGTCAGGACGCCACGCCGTCTGTCCCACAAATGCTGGCCAAGTCGGGGAGTCCATGGACGCTGTGCAAGGCTTCCAAGTGGGGTGCAAGGAGTGCCCACAAGCTCCTGCCTCCTCTGCTCGCCCCACAGGGCCCGAGCCGCTCTGCTAGCCAGGCGGGACCCGGGAGCGACCCGGGCCGGCAGGGCCTCCCAGGCGCAGGCTGTTTCACGGTCTTGTATTTCTGAGAAATAGAATTAAAGCCTCCCCACGATGAACTGAGATCGCCATGCCACGCCATGAACCTGTTCTTGCCTCTTGACCCAGAGAGCATTCTGGCTCAAAGATCTTTCTGCTTCTTACCTGCTTTCCCACTCGGCCCCCTGTTGAAAAGTGCTTTCAGGCTTTTGAACACAATATAAACCAAAACAGTGTGATTCCTATCGTGGAATCTACATCAACATCTCCAAATAACAAAAATCAGGTGGGCTGAAATTTCCTGAGCATTCCCGTTGTGTGGGGTCATCACGTACGGGAGGTCTGTGCGCCCCTCACTGCATCGCACCCTAACCGCCACATTTTAGAGCACTGTTTGGGGGGGTGACCACATACAGGGTACATGTAGACACGGGGCCACCCCAAAATACTCTGCAGCTGTAGCTCGGCAACAGGGGCGACTGTCCCACAGGAGCCACGTGAGGCTGCTCAGGGGAGCCAGGACCGAGTCTCGGTTCCAAGGATGAGCCCCCGAGGATCACCGGGCACCCCCTCCAGACACCAGCCAGCTGGGTCCCGAAGGAGCAGCTACAAAGTAGCCCCTCTCGAGGAATGGATTTACTTAACTGCCTGCTTTCTAAGTAGGGAAGGCCCCCGCCTCTCCAGGAGCTGCACACATGTAGGAGCTGTCTTCCAGTGGTTTCAAGTAGTCCTACAAAACTTGCTCAATGCCCAGAGCTCAACACAGTTCGAGGCACAGGGAGGGTTCCCAGCGGATCCTTGATGATAGCAGAATGTTTCATTCCTAGGGACTAAGTCTGTCAATCAGATGACATGGGGGAACAGGTGCAAGCTGCCTTGTGTTCCAGGATTCTTTTGGTTTCGTGTCATTTTAAAAACCGATGGTTTCGGGGGCGCCCGGGTGGCTCAGGCATTAAGCGTCTGCCTTCAGCTCAGGTGGTGATCCCAGGGTCCTGGGATGGTGCCCCGCATCGGGCTCCCTGCTCCGCGGGAAACCTGCTTCTCCCTCTCCCACTCCTGCTGATGTTCCCTCTCTCGCTGTGTCTCTCTCTCTCTCTCAAATAAATAAAATCTTTTAAAAAAATAAAAACTGATGGTTTCAAACACACTGGCCAGTGAGCCCTGGCTTTACTCCTGACATTGGCTTTGGTTCTCCTACAGGCTGGGCCCTTCTCCCTCCGGGTCTTCACACACATGCAGATATCAGCACCCTGCCTTTTACCCAGCCACCTCCTTATCACCCCTCAAACGACCCGGGTGTCTTTTTTGGGAAAGCCTCCCTGAATAACCTAACCTAGAGTCGTCCCCTCGTTCTGTTCCCTTAAAGTGTTCTGTTCTTACCACAATTTTACCGAAGTCATTTATGCCCTTCATTAGCACAGGCACTGCACACTCAGGGACGATCAGCGAGCGGAGGTGGGAAGGAAGAGGGAGTGGGGGACGGGGCAGAACGCGGCCACCTACGGGGCCTATTTGGCTCCAGCAGAGAACATCCCAGTGTGACCAGATCATCCCTATTTTCAAAGGAAGCCAAAAATCTTGGTTTTAAAAGTCAAGTCGCTCCCAACATCTAGATACTGGCAAATAATCATGTTCAGGAACAAGGCAGGCCAAACCAAACACACCAGTGGCTCCTAGTCCGTGGCCTCTGGTTTCATCTCTCTCCCACCCGGCTGTCAGTCCTGCTGGGACTCGTGCCGGGTCCACCCTGCTCACATCGTGTCTGGACTCAACAGGCGAGAAACAGAAATAGGTGATGGCTTCTCCTGGTAGAGCCCGGGGGTCAGAGAGAATGTTCTGGCAGGGAGCTGGCGTCCCACGGCGCCCGTCCTCCAGCTCTCAACTGCCCGCTGGACATTTCTCCACCTCCCCTTGAGCCTTGCTCCCCGGCGACCACCATGGGCCTCCTTATCCTCTGGCTGGGAGTCATCACAATGGGCTCTGTGACATCACCAACGGCCCGGCCCCAGGCACCCAGTCTCCAGGTGCGCAGGCAAACAGACCCACCATGAGCAACTTCGTCCCCCATCTCTGCTCACCATGCGGACGCTAACATGGTTCTTGTTCTTTCCTCTGTGCCTCTCCTGTGGCTATGCCTTTATGTTTTCTCCTCTGAGAGATAAAGTCAAAGAACCCCAGGGGAAGGTGCCTTGCGGAGGGCACTTTCGGGTCAGGCAGAATCTCCCAGAGCACGCCCAAGGCTGGCTTGGGAGCAAATGGCTCTGGCTTTTTTTTGTTGTTGTACTGTATGTGGTACTGAAGTTTCGAGGAGATAGTGAGAAGAGTAAGGTAAGGATGGCTCCGTTTCTTACCCCGCGCTGGTTCGTTCCATCTCAGATGTGTCAGGCCCGGAGAGACGGATGTCCTCATCCTTATAGGCGGGGCCATTCAGTAGAACAAAGTAGGATGCGAGGCACCTACCCGGTGGTCCTGCGACAGGCGGGCACATTCATTCCGTGACGTGTCCTTGGGAAAGACAACGGTCCCCAGACCCTCAGGGGTCAGGGCTAACGGTTGAAGATGACCTTCTGTTGATCAGCTAAAGAAAAGCTTGGTTTGATATTTATCCTATTAAATGAGTTTTTTCCTAATGAAGGAGAGATTCGAGAACTTGGTGTGTCTCAGGTCAAAATTACTCACAGAGACAGGTTCACTGCTCCTGATTCTTAATTTCCCTAGAATAAATGATTTCTTGTTGTTTTAAAATTCTTTATTTCTTACAAGTTGCCGAACCGAATGGAAATGGTATCATTATCCCAGGTAAAGGAAAAGACCTGTTGTGAAGGGATAAATGTGTAAAGAAGTAGCACTTCCTCCCTGAAGTGGCTGAACAAGCGTCAGACGGGGAAAGGGAGAGAAATACAGCATGTTCTCTGCTAGACAGTTCCAACACTTCATGACACAGTGTCCAAACTGATAGAGCAGGGGTTGGCAAACCTTTTCTGGAAAGGACCAAATAGTAGCTACTTTCAGCTTTGCAACACATACAGTCTCTGTTGCAACGACTCGACTCTGCTGTTTTAGCATGAAAGCAGCTTTATGTAATGCACAAATAAATGAACAAGGCTGTGTTCCAATAAAACTTTATTTATAAAAACAACTGGTGGGCCAGACTGGGCCATAGTTTGCCAATCCCTGGACTAGAGTGCGATGCTAGAACCATCTTTTCTTAGGGGAGCCCGACTCTCTTGGAACTGTGTCAAAACCAGCAAAGGCAATGATATTATTCACCCTGAATATCTTTCTTGACAGGAGCAGAATCCTGCCCTTCGAGGCTGTTCATTTCGCTCTCCACTAAAGAAAAATCAAAATGCTTCCCCCAACAAAGACTATGCGTTCAATACCTTAACCCACCTGGAGATGGACCTTGTGAAATTCGTGTCTAAGGTGCGGAATCTGAAAGTCGCCATGGCAACTGGCAGTAACCTCAAGCTTCAGAACATGGAGGGACCTGCAAGCCCACACAATAATATTACCATCTATGAAATATGGGGCGAAGAAGACTCTGAATGAATGGATTTGTGTGTCAGAGTAGGAGAGACAAAGTTGAGTGTTGACAAACCATATGCAAACCAATAAAACTATTCTGAAGAAAAAGAATTCTTGAAGTTGACACCTTCTTTTTTCTTTTTTTCTTTTCTCTTTTTTTAAACTGGAAGAAAAAATAAATGTGAGGCCAGTAACCACAGCAGTTAGTCTTTTGTTTTTGCCTTCCTCACCTCCCCTGGAGCAGTGATTGTTAAGAAGAGCACAGAGTAGCAGCACAGTAGTGGAGGCAGTCTTCTTGGCTATGGCGTCCGGGCCTCTGGAGGACGATTACGCTTAGGAAATTTGGGATAAGATGTGGATACCATTTTCATTGTAGTTATTTTTGTAGTAGCTATTTGTGCAAAAGGTGGAACCAGTTTTTATCTTTATAATTTATTACAAAGGCCAACTTTAATTATAGGTTTAAAAGAAAATGATTGAATTAAGAGGGTGTGTGTGTGTGTGTGTGTGTGTGCGCGCGTGCGTGCGTGCGCATGTGTGCGTATGTCAGGGAGTGGTGGATTCTAGAAACATTTTATTTTCTTCCCACCAGGAAAGTCTTTTTATTCATTCTGTCTCATGAATGACATGTATTGACTTTTTCTTCCATCAAATATCTAGTTGGAGTAAGATATAGAGAATTGATCTGTATTTTCAGTGGAATTTGGATACAGATGAGCTAACCAAGGCTTCCCAAAGTAGTCGATATGAATGTTTATAATACGTATTAAAAATAGGGACATTTTTGCATGTTAGTGTGGCTGATGGGAACTGCACTCACCCGAGGCTGTTGAATTAGCATACTGACCCCCAATCTAGGTCAGCAGGCAGCTCTACAGACACGCAGGTGCAGGCCTGGGGAGAGAAGCGAGTGGGGAAGACCATGGAAGTTTCCCTACTTCTACTTCAGCCCAAAGGCAGAGGAGTCCTGAATCTCCATCCTTGAATCCCCACGGTTTGGGCAAATTCTTCAGGCTCTGTCCCGTGTGTGTGTGTGTGTGTGTGTGTGTGTGTGTGTGTGTGTATCTCGTTCCATCTTATCAAAAAATATTCTGGTTGTAATCTGTTGATAAGGAAAATCTGTGTCCTAAGATGGCCGACTGAGCCCGCGAGAGAGTCTCAGTCCTTGCGCGGGGCTCTTCCGGGTCCTTCTCCCTGCCCCGCCTCACGCACGTGCTGAAAGTGCCAAGTATACGGAAGTAGAAGTGTATAAATTGCCCCCTTTGTTTGTGCTCTGGGCTCAGACCTTTGGAGACCACACTCCTCTGAGCCCCCCGGTGTTTAAATAAACCTCCGATCCTCCATGATCTGCGAGTGCCGCTTGGGTCTTCCGTCGGGCGATCCAGTCCAGGTTCCGTAACACTGTGATCTCAACATGGCACAGATTTTAGATGGCTGGAGATCATCTAAAAGGCCAGGGGTCAACAAACCATGGCTCATGGGCCAAATCCAGCACATTGCCCGCCTTTACACCACCCACGAGCTAATAATGGCTTTTCTATTTTTAAATGGTTGAGAAAAGAGGAGTAATATTTCATGACATGAAAGTCACACGAAACTCAAAATTCAGTGTGGTGCATGGCCACATGCGTTCATTGCTTCTGTGCTCACAGGCAGGATTGAGTTACTGCAGCACAAACCCTATGGCCCACAAAGCTGAAAATATTTACTGACGGGCCCTTTACAGGAAGTTGGCCAACCCCTAGTTTATGCTAATCTTATTTACGTGTTAACAACCAGGGAGAGTGTTCAAGAAAAGCAGATCTATTCAGCTGTAAACTTCACAAACCTCCCACATTTGTCTGCTAGGCTAACATGTAATTTTATAAATCACATTTTTTTGTAGGCCTGTCCAGTTCGCGAGCCAAGAAAGATGCGGACTGTAAGAAAAGGCAAAACCTCACAATTCCTTAGAGCAAGCAGACCGAGCATCTACATTAGAACAAAATCTGCTGTGCGTTTGGATGGAGCAATTTCTATAAAATAGTGTCCCTGAGTCTCTGCCTAGCCTCATACAGAGCTCTGCAGACCACGGTTTGGCCCAGACAACAGTGTTTTCTTAACCCAGTCAATTTCATGCAATATTTTCATGTAAAAATGCATTCGATTCGGGATCCAGAGCTGAAGAAAGCTACTGAGTTCTGCTGTCCTAGCATAAACTCAATTCCACATGTCACCACACTGTGGTTTCAGAAGAGCACATGACAGGCCAAGGATAACCGCCGGCTCCCTGTGATCACCTGGGGGGTTGGGGGGCACTCACAGGGGTTTTCTCCCTCGAGGCCAGTGGGAGGAGTCAGGCAATCACAGGAGTAACATCTGTCACATCAGCTACTCGTTAGAAACAAGTCACTCCAGGGGCACGGGTTACACCCGTGTGAGCGCCAGGCCTGGGGCCCACGCCAGACCCCGCTGCAGAGAGGGAGGCTGCTCTGGCGAGAGGGGTCAGGAACTAACAAAGAAGTGGGAGGGCCGTCGGTGCCCTGCTTGGCATGGTCATCCACAAGGTCTTTCTCCTGTATCTGGGCACGGATGGGGGCGGAAGCCTGGGCGTCCCCGAGTGTCACGCAGCCCTGTGTAATCAATCTCTCCCTTGAATGTGACGGGGCGGTCACTCCCATGTTTGCAGCGTGTCCTATGAGGCTCCGTCCTAGCCCAGACACCCTTCCAGTGGTCTCTCGGTCACACCACAGTGACGAGATGGGTCCTAGCAACAACCAGTGGCCCGGAAGAGACCCCCGAGTTGGGTGAGACCCCAGCCCCAGCTGACACTTGGATTTCAGCCTGGTGAGGCCCCGAGCAGAGGAGTCCGCTCCCCAAACTCATACCCCCGGCCCACGGAAACTGGGAGATAATAAATGCGTGTTGCTTTAAGCCACTAAGTTTGTGGGAATTTATTACACAGAAATAGAAAAAAGCAATGCCGCACGTGGACACACACAAGCACGCCAGATCTCTCCACCTGCTGCTTCTGATGCCTGGGATGATGCCTCCACCTTCCCTCTGACCCAGGCATCGGCCTCTGAATCCGAGAAGTGGGACCAAAGGAATATCGGCTGAGGGTCAAGAACGAGGATTTCTGGGGCGCCTGGGTGGCTCAGTTGCCTTCCGCTCAGGTCATGATGTCCCCGGGCTCCTGGGATCGAGCCCCGCATTGGGCCCCCTGCTCAGCGGGGAGCCGCCTTCCCCCTCTCCCTCTGCCACTTTTTCACTCACGTTCTCATATAGATAAGTAAAATCTAAAAAAAGAATGGGAATATCTTGTTCCTTGAAACCAGTGGTTACAAACTGTTGGTTCGGGGACTGAACCTCTCCCTGCTCCAGCCACATTTACGTGGCCCACGGTCCTTTTTTAACTTTTTATTTTGAAACAAGGATAGATTCACAAGAAGTTGCAAAGGTAGAACAGAGAATCGCCTTTTTCCGCAGTGGTTGCGGCTGGCGTTAACTTCGGGATGAAAACAAAAACAGGGACCTGACATTGGGATGGTGTGTGTGAAGGGTTCTGGGCCACCTTACCCCACGTGGACACTGGGCACCCGCCCCCACAGCCGAGAGACAGGTCTGTGCCGGCTCTGGAGACCTCGCCCGCCGCCCCCGCGTGGGCACAGGAACCGCCACCGTCACCCATCCCAGCGACCGCGCATGTGTCCATCTCTAAGATGTTGTTGTTTGGAGGCTGTTACATGAGTGAGGAGTCACCCAGCATGTGTGACATTTGAGGTTGGCTCTTCCACTCTGCGTCACGCCCCGCGTTCCCTGCGAGTGGGTCTCTGCACCCACACTCCGTGCACATTTCACCATCCACCTGCTGAGGGACATTTTGGCCATTTGCAGGTTTGGGCTTTCACAAATAGATCTGCTACAGAGGATCACGTCCAGGTTGTCGTGTGGACATGCAGTTCTTTTTCTCTGGGATGAACGCCCAGATTTATGCCGGGTCATATGGGAAAGGGTATGTTTTGGCACCCCAGTAAAATGTTTATAACTTTGGACTGGTGGCAAACATTTTACAATGAGATTCCACGTTGTATTCTAGTGAGGGACACACAGTACATCTAGAAGTCCTAATGAAACACAAATAAACACAATGGGCGTTGTAGCACTCCAGAACGCATACCCTCTGGGCCTTCCCAACAGACTTACAGAACCATCCAACCCACCTCTGAGCTCTGTGACCTGTCTCCTCCCAGCTAGGCCACACCAAGCCCATTTCTACCCTAGGGCCTTTGCACATGGCCTCTCTCCCTACGGTAAGTCTTTCCAACCGATGTCACGGCGCTGGCTGCTATGCTTGCTATGCTTGTCATTCTGATCTTTGCCCAGAGGGTCACCTGCTCAAAGAGGCCTCCACTGACCACCCAGCTGACCTCCCCTGCCACTCTAACCACATCATCCGCTTTATTTTCTTGGCAATACCATCACTGTGTGACATTATGCTTTTTATTGAGCTGTTTCTTAATGTGTCCCCAGGAATGTAAGCTCCATGAGGACAGGGACGTGTCTGCTGTGTCCTCAGTGCCTAGAACAGAGCTTGGCACATAATGGGCACTCCATCCAGATCTCGGGAAACCTACTCGGAACTCATTTCAGATTTAGAGAAAACAACAGCACAGAGTTCTCCTACACCCCTCCCCCAGTGTCCCCGAATGTTGGCCTCTTAGGTAACCAGGGTAGAATGATGACAACCAAAAGCTGTAATATGGGTGCAACACTGTTCATTAACTAAAGTGAATTTCATCTCATTCCTTTCTGTTCGGGGATCCCAGCCAGCAGCCTTCGGCTCAGTCAGCCATGCTGCATCAGTCTCCAGTGGGACAGTCCCCCAGCTCGCCTGTTGGGGCCTTGCCAGTGTGAAGAATAGCGATCAGCTCTTCCAGAGAACGTCCCTCCATTTGGGTTGAACGATGCTTGCTTTCTCACGATGGGAATGAGGTTAGGCCTTTCCGGCAAGAGCACCAGAGACGTGGTAGCGTGTCCTGGTGTACGCGCCCCAACACCGTTGATATTGACCTTCATCACTTGATTAGAGTGGTGCCGCCTGGGTTCTTCACTGTAAGGTAGAAATATCT